TCATGGTTCTTCATGTTTTTCCACCCCAGAAACAGGTTTCTGTCAGCAGCCGTCCGCAGCCTTGCACCGCGCCGACCGAGTGTCTCTGCAGACTTGAACAACAATTTTTGAAACACCTACAAGTTTTCGGACCTTTCACCATGCGGTTCTATCACCTTCCTTCCCAGCGTGGGAACTGAGTGTAACTGAGAACCAGAGTCAGAGTGGGGTGGGGGGGGAAGTTGTCCAAAATATCTTTTCCCGAAAACTATCCTTGCACCGGCCTTGGCCGAATCTTGCGCGGAGCTTGCACGAACACAGTCAAACTACTCCACAAAGCACAAGCTAGTAACAACAGTTTTCGTAACAATTTGGGTAACTAGTAAGTTGCCCTTGCGCAAAACTTTGCGCCGACCTTGCAGGAACATTGCGCGAACTAACTACGTACTATCAAGGAAAAACATGGTGCTACTAAATTCGGTTATACTTCCCCTGTCAGCAGCTCAAGAATGCTGTTTCATGTCGTTTCCTCGACCAAGGTGCTTGCCCGCGAGCGTTCGAGGAATGGTTGAAGGTGGACAGCTCATCCATTGTGGCAACTTGAAAGGGTGGCTGTGACTTTTCTGCCACTCGACGAAGCAGCTCCAACATCACAAGATATCCACATGTGCGCGATGTCATGACCAACGCCTTTTGCTGTGAGGCTGCGACGGCTTGAGCAACTGCCCACAATTTGGGGCAGGTTTCTTCGGCAAATGCCAGGATACGCTCTTTTGTTCCATTCCGTCCATCATGGAAACCTTGCGCATCATGCATTCCAGAAGCACAAAGTATCGCAACTTCGGTGGAAAAAACAATACAATGATTTGTGCGGCTAAACATCAAATGCGCAAATAGTACGGCTACAAACTGGCAGTTTCTCGTCTCGAATGCCATCCCGAAGCTTGACACGTAGGAGCACACGTTGCAATAGGATGACAGCCGCTTCCCAACCATGCCCTTCTGGACTTTCAAATCGTAGGACACCAAGCTTTCACCGGTCAAAGGAATTCCTGATCCAAGCCAGCTCAACCGCTATACAGTCATTGTTTTGATGAAAGTCGCCAGCCTAGCAAAGCCAAACGTAGTGCTATGAAAGTGCGGCCGAAAGGGAAGCACAGAAGCTACCAAACAACTCAACCGATGAACAACCATTGTTTTACTACTTACAGTTGAACTCAAGGGTTTTAGACTACAGTACAGAGCCAGGTCAAGTACACCATCCGTATATAATGGTCTTGGAAGGCAAGGGGTATAATAAGCATGCATGACAAGCAAAGTACAACAAACAGTCTCAGTTTGCAGGGCTCCATCCTATTTCACGCGAAAGGGCTCCCAATGGAGGAATCTTTGACGAACTTTCACTTTTGACGTCCAATCACGACTTACTGTACCTAATTCTGCCATGCAATGGTGGTTTCACTCCATCAACAAACAAGAAGGGCCAACTGTAGGTGTTCAACATACATGACTGGACCGTCATGACATGTCGAATTACCAGTCTAGAGTATGTGCAACAATGATCTATCTATCTATCTATCTAAATATATATAAAATTCTACTCTATATATATATAGAGAGAGCTAAACACAGCGCCAGCGAGCTTCGATGCACCAGTTTCTCCTGGAGCTGGTGGCTGAGCACGCCATCTGGAACACCCTGTGGAAATGCCTCTGCGAATAGCAAGCGTGGACGACTGGCCAAAGATGACAGAAAACCTCAGGGTCAATAACACTGTGACTGTGAACAGCCTCCACTCGAAAAGCGTTGGATTGTCGCCAGTCTTACACACTGGGAAGTGGAGATGTTGCAAGGGCTTTGCGTGAGCTTGTCAATCAAATGTTCGAAGGCTGGCCTTCATCGGAATCGGCCCCTCCCTTTAGAAGGTCCAGCAGGTTCCGCCCCTCCTGTGGGTTATCCAGTGCCAATGTTCCCGTGAAGCCCACAGCCACAGTGTGGTGAGCAGTCAATAGATTGTGGCGTAGACCCTCCAGCTGCTTGGCATACAGGCTTGGTTGAATCAAGTGATGGACTTCGTCAAACAAAAGGATCTTGTGATCCAGCACCTTCAGCTAAATTAGGATGACAAAAAATGATCAGTGAAAGCAGCAGCATAAGAATGATTCAACGTGAATATGCACAAAAGGGAGAGGTTGCTTGTTGCTGTCTCGGGGACATTTGCGACGCCTCAGCAAGGAAAAAACACTGGCTTGCCGGTGGTGTGTGCATGTGGAAAACTACCACCAGCAGTTGGCAATAGTATCCAATACTCCCTTGCAGCAAGTGCCATGAGTCTCCAGAGTTGAGTAAGTGCACAAAATAACATGGAGGCCTCGCAATTTTCCGACCTGACTGAGTCTTGTGCCTCCGGGGGCTTGCTTTATACTTTCTTGTGCTTTCTGAACTTTCCCTATTGCAGCCAACTCTGCGAGTGAAGGTGGCGGTAGCGCCCGAGCATGGGCAACAATGTTAAAAGAACAGTTTTTATATACGTCTTTGTGCATGTCAAGGAGTTGTGTCAAGCACTATGACACCGACCCATCAGGTAGGGGACAGTCAAATGTGAACCCCTCGCCCTTCCACTTCTGCGGGTGAATGCATGCACACCCGCTTATTTAGGCAATCTTCGCTGTGATTAGGCAAGGTGCCCTGCCAAGCAATCTTCATGACCTCAACGAACCACTGCTCTGACGGCTGTGATGCAACAACTCACGTAGCCCACCGAGACGTGGGCTAGATGCACAAAATCCCCGTCGCATGTGAACCAAAACCAACCCTAGAAATACCCTCAACTACTTGGTGGGACACTTGGTGACTGCATTGTAGACC